AATCAGTCACAAGAACGTCGAATCTGAATCACTTGAAAAAAACACGGGGGTGCTTAACTTTTTTCCAGGTGTATAGTTAAAATAAACGTAAACGTTTTGGAGCCAATTTAATAATTATACAATAAACTAAACGTTCTTTAGACAGATCGCTGCTTTAATCTCAACGTAAACGTTTGTTAAACAGTTTGGTATTTGAATATCTAACTAAACGTTCCTTAGACAGATCGCTACTTTAATCTCAACGTAAACGTTTGTTAGACAGTTTAATATTTGTACATCGAACTTAACGTTCCTTAGACAGATCGCTACTTTAATCTCAACGTAAACGTTTGTTAGACAGTTTGGTATTTGTACACCGAACTTAACGTTCCTTAGACAGATCGCTAGTTTAATCTCAACGTAAACGTTTGTTAGACAGTTTGGTATTTGTACATCGAACTAAACGTTCCTTAGACAGATCGCTAGTTTAATCTCAACGTAAACGTTTGTTAGACAGTTTGGTATTTGTACATCGAACTTAACGTTCCTTAGACAGATCGCTAGTTTAATCTCAACGTAAACGTTTAATATTTGTACATCGGTGAAAAATCTTCCCAACTAACATGCATCGTATTGTATAGGTTACATGTATAGAGGTGATTTCCAATTAACTGCCTTAACATATCATCAACATGAAATAGGAAACAAAAAATAATTTAGGACGAAATTCTTCTCTCACACCACCCCAAAACTAAAAAAGAAAGAAAGAGACTCTTTAGAAACCATCAAAACAAACAATCTCTTACTAAACCGTGATAATGGCCCTAGCAACATCAGTCGTATTTAGCAAGGCCTATTCATCGTTCATACACTTGACCAGATTTAACTTATATCTATATTTTATCACCTGGTGACACATTTAATCCCTATTGTCCTTGTAACGATATATAAACATTGTATTGGTTAGTACTGATCATACTTGAAGAAACATGTAGTATGAATAAAACATTTCCACATGTTTATAAATCGTTGTTTACCGATCTATTATTATATTAACATAATATACTTCCTTATTTAAGTACCATGATGATATCATTATAGATCTTTCAATATGTCATCAATGGCTAGTTTTAATTATCTTTTAAAAGTAATACAATTATCCGTGCGTTATGTATAAACACTTCACTAATTCATGAGTTCTATATTTAACCATACTTTTTGCTGTTTCTAGAGCTAGGTGTTACTATCACATTTAACGTCCTGCTGAAAATTTGTTATCACACTTAATATTTCTATAAACGTTGAGTAAGACAGCCGAATGTGTTTTTATGATTTAACGTATTGTTTTGTTTCAATATTTAATCATACTTGTTACATTTCCTGACGTTTTTCATTTCTATAACTAATATA